TAATACAATTTTTCTACTGAATTTCCTTACCTAGGTAGGAAAACTTTGGCTACTGCTACATACTATTTGTACCTCGACAGAACCGCCGACTTTATGCTGCTAAGAACACTGATTGCGCATCTAGAATAAAAAGAATTGCACGCAGCACACACAGTATCTAAACCAGAAACAGATCAATTACATACTCAGGAAGACCTTAACAGTAGTATATATGCTCACGCTTTAATAAACCTGAATTCTACGCACAACGATCATAATATCAATTAAGCATTCACTATACTCAGAGATTCTTCCATTTTGGAATATTTAAATGGTTTTTCATTTATTTATTCATTATTGAACCATTTGTTGTTTATGTTCATAACTTACTTAAAAGCTCTTAGCCTTTTTTAGAACAATACGTTCACGATATCGCTCTGAGATGCGAATGCTCTACAGAATGTACACAGTAGACAGCAAAAGCGTCTAGACCACAGTGTTCACATTTATTTCAATGCGAAACATTTTTCAAACTAGGGGAATCAGGCTGATGCAATGGCAGGCGTTTGACATATATATATATATATATACACATGTATATACATATATATACATGTATATATATATATATATATATTTTATATATGTATATATACATATATAAAAGTTAATTCCTTAACATACAAAAATGGATAAATTTCCTAAAAAACGTGTAAGAACAATTCCCTGAATAGGTAATCACATGATAATTCTGTTCTCCAAATGACACATGTTCTTTTATAAAAACATAAAAAAAAATTTGTTTTAAATTAAAATTCTAAATAATGTATCATAGTTTAATACATTTTTGAAATTTGATGCTCCGTCAAAGTACCAGCCTGTATCCATCAACGTGAAGAAACAGTCATGTAATTCCGTAACGTCTAGACGCAGATATCACTTTCCTGCATCCAAACAAATGGAGCACTAGGTTAGATCACAAAAAGTATGGTGTAATATTTAAAGGTGGAATTACTCTTTCGGAATCAGGCACTGCCTGGAATAGCACTGGATTTCTTTGATCAACAGTTGTGAACTGTAAAATACTAGCTACATTACCACAGCGATAACAATAATTTGGAGCTGACCATACTGTTACAAGTTTATCATTAAACATATATCTATAACCTGTAAATAAAATCGAAATATATAAAATATAATTATAAAATTTTTCTTGCATTATTATCTTTGTTATTTATTATTTATATACCTTCATGAACCAATTGATGAGCTCTACAAATAAGTTTAAGATCGTTGATTTCCATAAATTCATATGTTACTTTACTTCCAAATAACCAACCTGCTCCACGCGGACTAATAGTCCATGATTCTACATCTTCTGGATCGGACCAAACTAAATCACAAAAAGCACCTATAACAGAAATCAAAATAGTATAAAAAGCTTCAATACATTCAAAAAAATAATAATTTTAAAAAACTTGTATAATACCTTTATGTGGAATTTCTCGATTTCTTTCAATTGTCCTAATTTGATCTAACGTTCTAATGGCTGGAGATAATCCACCATGCACACAAAGTACTTGATCATCAATTAACTAAATAAAAATATTCGTATTTATATTAAATATATTAATCGAGTATTAAATTCATTTATTATTTACAAATACTAACGGCAGCAACTGCGAGTAAGTCGAACACCTTACAACAGTATTTCCATGCATTAGCATTGCCATATTTGTTTTGACACTCATCTGCATATGACATAATAAGCTTAATCATCATAATTATTAGACATGCACAATAATAGATTATTATTAAATATATTTTTTAAAATATATTGCATGAATATAATAATTTTTATAATATATATTATAATATATACTATAATATATACTAACCATAAAAACCATAAACATGAGTAATTTGTCTGGATTCATGATTTCCACGAAGTAATGTTATTCTATCAGACCATTTAGCTTTAAGTGTGAGTAGGCGGGTAAATGTTTCTACACTATAATACCCTCTATCTACAAAATCTCCCATAAATATATAATTTGTCTCAGGCACAGCGCCTCCATTACGGAATAATTCTTCTAAATCGTAAAACTAAAATAAAATAAATAATTATAACAATTATCAAACATTTTAGTTCGGTCAACATCGTTATCTCTAAAGATATCGATATCATATTGAGGTTAGAACAAAACTATAAAACTTACCTGACCATGAATATCTCCACAGACTGTTACCGGTGTAGATACTGGTTGAATATTAGATTCTTCTAATAATATGTCACATACCAAGTCACAAAGTTTCTAAACAAAATTAATTTAATTGTTAAGAGACAAACAGAGATTTCAAATAACCTATGAATATATATTTAATTTATCATCATATATATTAACAAGATATAACATAATTGAGATCATACTAAACAATATTTTTTATATATTGTTTACCTTAAGATCATTTTCGGGAAGATATTTGCATTCTTTTGCAAGTTCCATCCATTTATCGATGTCTGACATTTTGGACTCGTATCGTAGGAAAATACTGATCGCGCCCTCACTTACATATGTGTACACTGAATTTATAGTTGATTTATATTTTTATAAATTGTTTTACCGAAATAATTTCAATTAAATTTCCAATTTTTATTCATTTTACTCATAAAACCTTAAATATTCTATTTAACAAGGAATTACTTCTTTTCATCGCGTTAGACGCGAACTTAATTAACCTACTATGAAGAAAAATTAAAAAACACCAACTTTTATTCCCCACAATCCTTTCATATTATTGGTTCTAAATTATCTTTATAAAAAGGGAAATTATATTCAAAATTGAAAATCTTTTATCAAAAATATATTGAAATACATTTCCACTGTCAATGTCAATAAATACAAATATCTCATGTCAGTATAGTTATTTTAACAATTTTAAGCATTCAACAATTTTGAAATAGATATTAGTTTTTAGAACACATGATATATCATCCAATAACAATATCGTTTTAACAAATTCTAGTAACTTTTGTTTTATTTTTACGTTTTAAAAGAAAATTTTAAAAAATGTGATATTTAAAAATTTGATTATGTAAAATCAGATAAAATTTAATATTTATTTCATTTTGATTATATTTTATAAAATATATTAATAAAATAAAATTATATTTTATAAATATTCCACTTATTGAAAAATAACTATATTACATTTATTGAAAAGTAACTATAACTGGTATATTTAAAACTAAAAAAAATTTTTTTTTCATCTTTGATAAAATATCTAAAATAAATATTGTATTTTAAATATATCATATATAATCTTTTATTACATACATACAATAATTTAAAATAATAATAATATATAATGCTATCAATTAAAAATCAATTATTATGGTGAATATTATTTTTCATTAAAAATTATAATAAATATTATTATAAGAGAATTTGTATAAATAATTCTTTCATAAAAATATTATTTTTAACATAAATATTTATAGATTATATTATTTAATATTTAATAACGACACTATTACTTTTATAAATATAAATATAATAAGTAGAATCTAATATTCTCATTGGTCGTTGTCTATTTTCTTAACGATTGTGAATGTTCCGCGCCAATGAAAATATTTGCCGCGTAAAAATTCAAAAATCAATTGACAAATTTGAAAAGAAAATGACTGTTTGTCATGATAGGATGAACGCATAACAAAAGGTATAATTTCAATTTTCTTCGATAGCAAATCATCGTGGAACGTAGAAAAAGGTCAGCAGCAGGAGTACGATATGGATTTTATCTCACGACGAAAAGTGGGTCACATCAAAAGCGCCTGTGCGCACGCTTCGATTATCGATTGAAACGTTACGTGCCTTGAGTTCGTACGCTGGATCTCATTTATGTGAATGCAGTGACTGTGGATGTTCGTAGTGTGACTTTCTCGCAGTAGGCCAGTGGCTGACATCTTTCGTTTGTGGTCCGTGCATGATCGTGAGTTTCGGAAAAATGCGGTGAAATTCAATATACAGCGACGTGCCTTCGCGAAATCGGCCATTTTGATAGTGCGTGTTTCGCGAAAACGGATAGGATCACTTTTGGCAGCTACCCTCAACGGTTGTGCGTGAAAGTGGTGGCAGCTCGGTGTCGCCCACAGGACACAGCCGTAAAACTGAAAACGATCGTGTTCTTGGGCTAGTGAGCAAACAGTCTCAACAAAATGGCAGGAAACGCGGGTATGGAACAATTAATTCCGATTGTGAATAAGCTGCAGGATGCCTTCACACAGCTTGGGGTGCACATGCAACTTGATTTACCACAAATCGCAGTAGTAGGTGGTCAGAGTGCAGGAAAAAGTTCTGTTCTTGAAAACTTTGTTGGAAAGTAAGTATTTAATGTCCTGTCGTTTCATCGTTTTTCTTTTTTAAAACATTTTCAAATCTTTTGTGGATCAGAAGAATTCAAACGTTTGATTAAAGGCGTGGCGAACTACGCCACATTATAATTTTAATATCCGTCATCAATTATTTTAATTTGAGTATCCATCTTTTCTATATTTCTTTAGGTTAACTATTTTAATCGATCGATCTTGTCATCAAAATTAACTATATCTTTATAATTCGTGGCCGCCTACACAGTGACCTGTCAAATGATATTCTTTCCCATTGGTGTAATATTTAACCTTCTACTGAATTGCCTGAAGTATACACATATAATGAAGAAAATTATTAATGCAATTGTTCTCAGTTTAGGTCATTTAATGTTGCTTTCTATTAATTTAGTCTAGTTTAAAACTATGAATATATATATATATATATATATATATATATGAATATATATATATAAATTAATAAAGATATTAATTTCAATAGAATTTTATACACATCTTTTACATGTTATATATTAAATGTAATTTTATTATTTTAGAATAATTTTTATAATAATATAGCTAATTAAAATTAATTTATAAATAATTTATAATTTATAAATAAATAATAAAAAAAATAATAAATGATACTTGAATATAAAGGTATAATATAATTACAACATATATCAATATGTTGTCAAATTTTAATTTTTTTTTATGTTTCAAGTTTTAATATTAAAAAAAGAGAAATATTCATTTTATTGTTATTTAAATTTTTTCTTTTTTACTATATTTCTTTATATAAATTTATGTTATCATATCATATATTTTTTAGTATTCTTTGATATTCCTTTTTTATATATTTTTTATATATATATATATAAAATATATATTTTTTTTAGAAAAGTACAATATTTTTTTGTTTCCAGGGATTTCTTACCTAGAGGATCTGGTATTGTAACCAGACGACCACTTATCTTACAATTGATTAACAGTACAACTGGTAAGTCATCATAGATAAATAGATTATAAATTTTATATTGAATAAAATATGTATTTAAATATATATAAATACATATGTATAAGAAATATATATACAAATATAATATATAATATAAACATGAAAATTTATGAATAACAATTATTTCTAATTATTGATTTTATTAAACATAAAATTAAAAATAACTAAAGAATGTTAAATTGTATAATAATATTTGTTATTTATTTTAATCATTTATATTGTTTTTTTTTCTAAGAAATATTAAATTTTAATATAAATTTTAATAATTTCACATATTTTGAGGTTTAATATTACTTATCTATAAGTGTTGTCTATAGAAATTATCACATTTCCTGTAACAATGAACTTTTGATAAATAAGAAATCAAGAATATTTTAATTATTTAAAATTTTATATGTTAAAAAAATATAAGGTCATATTATCATACAATATAAATTATTTTTTTATTATAGAATATGCTGAATTTCTACATTGTAAAGGTAAAAAGTTTGTGGATTTTGATGAAGTACGGAAGGAAATCGAAGCAGAAACAGACAGAGTTACAGGCAGTAATAAGGGTATTTCTAATATACCAATAAATTTAAGAGTATATTCACCTAATGGTAATTATAATATTTTATTATATTATATATTGGTTTATATTAATGTCTTGATTAAAATATATATATTATTTCTATTAGTTTTGAATTTAACATTAATTGATTTACCTGGCCTCACAAAAGTACCAATTGGAGATCAACCAGCAGATATAGAAGCTCAGATTAAAGCTATGATTTTTCAGTTTATTAAAAGAGAAAATTGTCTTATATTGGCAGTAACACCAGCAAATACTGATTTAGCAAATAGTGATGCTCTTAAACTTGCTAAAGAAGTAGATCCTCAAGGTATTTATTTATATTTGATATTTAATATTAACAAATTCAATGAATATTTTTTATATTTTTTTAAATTTTTTTAAGGTGTACGTACAATTGGTGTTATTACAAAATTAGATCTTATGGATGATGGTACTGATGCAAGAGATATTTTAGAAAACAAATTATTACCTTTGAGACGTGGGTATATAGGTGTTGTTAATAGAAGTCAAAAAGATATAGAAGGTCGAAAAGATATAAAAAATGCTTTGGCAGCAGAAAGAAAATTTTTCTTAAGGTATGCATCAATAATAAGAAATAATTGCATTAATAAATTATTTAATAAAATATCTAAAATATTTCTTTATATTTTATTTATTTATTAGCCATCCATCTTATCGGCATTTAGCAGATAGATTAGGAACACCATATTTACAACGTGTATTAAATCAGCAATTAACAAATCATATCAGAGATACTTTACCAGCATTAAGAGATAGATTACAAAAACAATTGCTTACATTGGAAAAAGATGTAGAACAATACAAACATTTCAGACCTGATGATCCTGCCATAAAAACTAAAGCTATGTTACAGTAAGTAGTTTCTTAATATGTATTATATGTAACTATATGTAAACTTATAATTTTTTCAATTGGAATAACTTTTATCAAATAATAGAAAATAAAATGAACCTTAATGACAATAATATATAATAATTATATCCTATATAAATATATCCTATAATAAACATATATCTTCATAAACTAAATAAAATTTCTTTAAAATTAATTATGGGTGGAGGGTCCTGAGATTTTAGAATTTTTATTATTTTTCAGATCGATTCAAATATTTATGTAGGTATCATATTTTTGTTCATTTGTGTGTATTTGCATGAAAATTTTTATGCATAATGTATTTTTATATAACCAACTAAAGAGTGAAAAATAATAATTTTATTAACATAAAAGATCTTAATATATTAATGAATCATTTATTATTTAGCTTTTCATTACTAAATATCATGACTCTCTGCCCATAGAACTAACATTAAGAATTAATGTTTGTATATATATTTATTATATATTAATTGAAAGAAAAATATTTTTAAGGATGATACAACAACTTCAATCAGATTTTGAAAGAACTATAGAAGGTTCAGGATCTGCACAAATCAATACAATGGAGCTTAGTGGAGGTGCAAAAATAAATAGAATATTCCATGAACGTTTTCCATTTGAAATTGTCAAAATGGAATTTGATGAGAAAGAATTAAGAAGAGAAATTGCTTTTGCTATTAGAAATATTCATGGTAAATGATTATTTTAATTTTGATAACATTCTCAATTTCTATATATCAAGATAAATGAAAGTTATGCTTATAAAAATAAGTTTTTAACAATAGTATAATGTCATAGGTATCAGAGTAGGTTTATTTACTCCCGACATGGCCTTTGAGGCAATAGTCAAGAAACAAATCAATAGACTCAAAGAACCTAGTTTAAAATGCGTGGATTTAGTTGTACAGGAACTTAGTAATGTTGTACGCATTTGTACTGATAGGGTGGGTAAATTTATTTTTAATTTAAAAAATTTTAAATGATATTTAATATAATTTTTTTTTTTTTTTTTTTTTT